TATACTTGTTGTCAAAACCTATTCAACTTTCCTAAGGCCCAGATGAGTGGGAATGCTTTCCGTTTAAAAGAAAGTAACAAGAGAAATAAGAGCCTCTGCTCCCTTGGCCAGAATGAAAGACAATCTGAACAAATCATGAAACAGAAAAAATGTGCTCTTCAGCCATAAAAAAGAATGAGATCATGTTCTTTGCAGGGACATGGATGAAGCTGGAAGCCATCATCTTTAGCAAAGTGACACAGAAAGGGAAAACCAAATACCGCATATTCTCCCTTATAAGTGGAAGCTAAATGATGAGAACACATGAACACATGGAGGAGAACAACACACACTGGGGCCTTTGGGAGGGTGAAACCTGGGAGGAGAAGGAGCATCAGGAAAAATAAGTAATGGGTACTAGGCTTAATACCTTAGTAATGAAATAATCTGTACAACAAACCCTCACGACACAAGTTTACTATGTGACAAACCTACAAACCTGCACTTATACCCCTGAACTTAATATAGATATATAATAAATATATATATAATAAATATATATATAAATATATATATATAACTTATATATAATATATAAATATATATATATAACTTATATATAATATATAAAAATATATATATATTAAGTTCAGGGGTATAAATATACTTCCTTCAAATATACATATATATGTGTATATATATATATGAGAAAATGTGTTCATAGCACTCAACTGTCTTGGTGACCTTTTCTTCCTTTGCCCCAATTATTCAATCTAGGACACAAATCCCTTCATTTTACCCAAGTTTTTCCATTCATTTCTACCATCCCACACAACTTTGCACTTCCCCAAATTAGCCATGGTCACTTATCCCCCTTTCTGTCCAACTCTCCTATCAAAAATTAAATTCTGTCACAGGATCTGACCTTAGCCTGCTATAAGAAGGATGGCAGTAAGACGGACTACTTTAAATGAATTAATAAGTAATTCCAGGACTTGCAGTGCAACATGAGGTTAAGATACCACTTTTCCAAAGAAATTTTAATACCTAGGGATTTCAAGATAACGAAAGAAAAGAAACGGGAAAATTGGATCACATGAGGAGGGATAGTGTGGAGCTGAGAGCAGATACAAAAAATGTGCCGTGTACATTCACAAAACCTCACTTCTGCACATGTGGCAGACATGACTAATGGAAGCTAGATCTCCTGCCTCTGGATTTGTCCGCTGCTCTCACAAACCTTCCCAGTGTAAAGCTTGAAGTGAGAGAATGAGGCACTGAGAACTTGCAGGCAAGATTAAGCCTATTTGCCACTCCTGCCAGGGGCTATATTCTAGAGTAGGTGCTTACCCCAGGGTCAGGCTCTCTAGTGTTATTAGAAGAGCATTTTCTCTTCCTTCAAATAAGTCCACCTGGGAGTAAAAAGGAAATATTCCAACAACAATGTTGATGCTGCTCACAACACTTCAGGAATTTCTAGGAATCGTCTTCTTTGAAAGTTGAAAAAATACAAGCTTTCTTTGTGTCTTCTCCTTCTCCTCAACTCTCTCTCTCTCACTCAGTCTCACTCTTACACACACACAGACACACACACACACACACACACACACACCCCACTGGCTAATTTTAGAGTTTGTACCTTATTTTTGAACTAACTTTACTAGCCTGACTGCCACTCAGAAGTAGCACCAAAGTACTTTAGGTTTTTGTTGTTGTCCTTTTACAGTGAACGGTCATACTCCAAGAGTGAAACTTTGTCCCCATGTCACCCCTTATTGAAGCACATCAATAGGCAGAGCTCTGTCCTCTTCCTTATCCCTGGAATTTATTCTGCTGTTATGCTCTGAATGTGTCTCCCAAAATTCCGATCACCAATGCAGCAATGTTGGGAGCTATGGCCTTTGGGAGGTGTTTAGATCATGAGGGCTCTGCCTTCATGAATAGGCTAATGCTATCCTAACAAGGGACTTGCGAGAGTGGGTTCAGTCTTTCTGCTCTTTTGCCACATAAGGACATGGAGTTCCTTTCCTTCTAAGGATGCAGTGCTCACCTTAGAGGTGGAGACTGGACCCTCACAGGACACCAAACCTGCCAGCACCTTGATCTTGGACTTCTCAGCCTCCAGAACTGTGAGAAATTACTTTATTTTCTTTATAAACTACCAACTTTGAAGTATTCTGTTATAGCAATAAAACAAACAAAGAAAAAAGAGCAGAGTAAGCCATCTGCTTTCAACTACCCCTTGTGTCTACTATCACTTTTTCTTTTTTCCCAGGGGGGTTCTCTGCTCTTAGGCAAACTGTAAGGTGAAATAGCATCTTCTGCCTTGTGCTCAGTCCCTTCCACTTTCATTGATGGCCCCAAAACTCTTTACTTTTGAGTAATTTTCTTTAGTACAAGAAAATGAACCATTCAACAAACAGAACTATCTTTTACAGACTGTAAAGTTATAAACGTATCTTAATAGGTATTTATGGTTTGATTTCCCTGATGCAACAACTTAAATGTTCAAAACAAATGCTGATTTTAAGAATTAAGTCTTTTAATCTTCTACTTGGATTTCTGTATTTTCAAGTGTGAGAAGAAACCTGCTTTCTTCTGTGCAGACAAAGAGATAATCTGCAAGGAAATAAAAAATGCTTTCAAATGACTAGACCCATGAGGAGGCCCCAGGCTCAAGAGGTCCATCAACATGTCAGTGTCACTCTAGAATCACACAGATTCTCCACATCATAGGATCCTTTTTTCTTTTTTTCTGAAAAGGTTAGGTGACACCATCTCCTAATCTAAGATTTGAAGGAAAATCTGTTGGGTTTTCATAGAATGTTTAAGCAATTGGCAGCATTACCCAAGTGTCTACAGTAATTCAGGGGTTTCTTTTCATTTTGATACATTTGGCAATTTCACTCATATAAAGAAAATAATGTTATACCATGTCAAATCTAATGGGTATGCTTATACAGAATACACACACTAATAAATGCACACAAATGGATGTTACTTGAATCTCAAAGTATGTTTAGAGCATTCACTTTTCAAAGACACCAAAGAAATGACAGACCTTTATAATGGCATATTATAATATACTGGCATGTTCTGGTTCCTTCTAGAAGTTACCATGATCTGCATGACAATTTTATTAAAACATTGTCAATTTCAAGTAAAACAACAGAAAATAGGAAACTCTCTCTTAAAAGTAGAGATGTTCTACAAAACATGAATGAGCAGGAATGGATAAACCAGTAGTACATTATTTGACTCAAAAAGATGCTCATGTCTATGCCAAATCATATTTTTCTTAGGAAGTCAGAATGAACAAAAGAAGAAGATAAATCACTGTGGAAATGCAAGTGAGCTGGTAATAATAGTCTAGTTATAGCCTCCATGAAACAGTCATTAAGTTATATGCAGCATAAATCTCACAGAGTTTTGTAAATTATGGTGGTTCTTAGAGGCCAAATAAAGATAAAGTGTAGTCAGTATGGCTGCCTTTTTTTTTTTGGCTCCTTGGCATGGCTTTTTAAAATGTTCTAGCTCAGGCTCATAGCACTATATGGTTCCCGAAGCATCTGAGAAAGAATTAAAAAGTTCACAACTCGATTCAAGACTGTTCCACCACATTTTGAAGGTGATCATCTGTAACCAGTTCTTTTCTAAGCTCCTAAGCAGAGTCTTGCCCTGATCTAGCTTATACTGGGGCCAGACAGACTTCCAGATCAAGCCTAGTACTTTAAGCTGTTGCCATTTTCAAGGCATGCTGGAAGAGCAAGTGCCAGATATGTGCTCTGCAGTGGGAGCTAAGCTTGCCATGCCTGATTCCGGCCAGCCATCTCCAACTCCAGAGACCAGCAATGAAATTGTATCCTCTGCTTCTCTCTGTACACCGGCACATTAGCAAAACTCTGATTCAGAGATTCCTAATCAATGTACCTTTTCCTCCTTCTTGGAGGTTGGTTGTAATCCCCAGTTGATATTTTTCTTAACTGCTTTTTCCTCCTGCTATTTAAACTAAATTCTTATTGCTCCAAATTAAATCCATTCTTTCTAGACTTGTCATTGCTAACTAATGAGAACAATTCCTCTCTTTGCTCTTGGTGACTGCACTTTGGGTACTTACGGATGAGAATCATATCTCTCTTTAGCCTACTTTCTTAACTGCAGACTGCACAGGTGATAAAATGGGTTAATTGTTGCTATAAAAATATTTTCCATCCTTATAAAAAAAAATTTTTCTTCCAGATCATTTTAATTTCTTAGCCTTTGCTGTGTTCTTATGATCTACAGGGACTGAGGGTGCAGTGCTATTAAGCACATATGGACAAGACCAAAAGGAAAATGTTGAATATGCAATACACATGAATGACTCAACTCCAGATCACTGTCCTGTGTCCTTTTCGCCCCGCCCGCCCTGTCACTCTGGTCTCAGTTTTTATCACACATTTCTTACAGTTCTACAGTGACGTTTGAAGCCTAGGACAGGGGTCACTTAATTATAGTCTGCAGCTTGTTTCTATAGACACGTTCTTATTGGAATACAGTCACATGTATTTTCAAAACATGTATTGTCTCTGCTTTCACATACAAAGGCAGAACTGAGTATCTCTGAGAGAGACTATCTGATCTGCAAAGTCCAAAATATTTATTCTCTGCCTCTTTTCAGAAGGTTTGCCAACTCCCAGCCTCGGAGACTGTTAACGTTCCACTTGGCTTTGCTGCTTGCACCAAGTAAGCTCTCTTAAATATACCCTAGCAGTCTGCTAAATGTTCTGCCACAGAGTTGGGAAGGGAGTCTGCAAAGAAAGAATTTCTTTTTCCTCTCTATATACATGGGGCAGAAGAAAGAGGTTTTAAATGTTCTCCCCCAGGTACCCTATAAGCATGATGGTTCACATCTTAAAACCATTTTTATAAGCATGTACACCTTTGCCACACTGATATAGAATGTTCTGCTGCATCTACCTGAATCACCAACTCAGACCACCAATAAGAAAAGAAGATCCAGGCCAAGGCCCAGTACTCACTATGTGAAGCTGGAGGAAGTCACCAAGTCCTGGAGCACTGTCAATGCGGACCAAGATGCCATCCTTCACAGTGGTGCTGAAGCCCACAGCAAGGCGGTCAGAGCGTGTGCTGGGCCTGTCATTGGCTGGCCAGGTGTAGAGGATGAGGCCACCACTTTTCCCAAAGATGTACGTAGCGCCAGCTGCAAACGCAAGGAAACAGGGAGACATCAAGGTACTGTATTGTATACAGCCAGCTGTATTACACTGTTAAGACCCTACACAGAACAGCTGCAGAGAGGAAATGTCCCCCATGTGACAGTATCTGGTTACTGAGAGGGATGGAACCCAAGGCTTCCAAAGGCAGCTTGGGTTCACCCCAAATTAAAGACTCAGGCAAAATGAATGAATAACAAAGCAGATGTTGGTGAGAATCATTTTTGACATCTTCAGCTCCTGCTGCATCATGGTGGAGGGTAAATAACAACCTAAGCGTGGGAGCTTGGGTACATTGCAATAAACACCTTTCTGGTCTTCCTCAACAGCAGGCTTAATTTTCCATCTTGGCTAGGACAGGCACAAGAGAGAAAACGAGTCCCCTGTCTCTTAGCTATCAACATCATCTGGTCAGTGGAGCCAGGAGCCTTACAAAAGTGAAGATAACAGAGCAGTCCAAATCATGTCTCTCATGCCTGTACCTTCTCCCATTCCCACAGGAAAGAAAGCAGTGGCCAGAGAAAACCAAGTTATGTGACTAAATGCATTTGCCTATCTCACTGTTATGCTGCTAGAAACACGGTAACAAAAACTATTTCCAGGAGCCTTTTAAAAATGAACCATTTTTTTTCTTTTTGGTTCCTTCATGGTATTATTTATCTGGCATTAAATAAATTTTAATTTCCTTTTTCAAACTAAAAGGAAGAAGAGACAAGAAACTTAGAAAAAAAATCCCAGATAAAGAAATTTGAACCTGACAAGTGGTAACTGTCAATTATGATTAGTGGGCTTATCAGTATGTTTACTATTTAATTGTTTTTACTATTATCCATATGAACTCAGGAGTTACTAGGAATATATTGATTTAGAACTACTTACAAAGCAAATGGGAATACAAATAAAGAAAATATTTGTATTTCAGAATGTATAAAAAGTACATTTTAAGAAACACATTTTTAATCTGAACTGGGGAAAACCATTTAGATTTGGTGACCAGAAAAGACTCCGCCGTGTGTTGCCTCTGTGGTTCTGGGCATATGGTGTTATCCACAGGGAATACGTCCACGGGTTATTCATCTCAAAGTTCAGAGCACAGTTGACATCAGATCTTCTTGTGTATTTCCCAGAGACCACATTCCAACCCTTAAAACTATTTGAAAGCAACATCAGACCACCATGCAGATACCTTTAACATTTATTAAAAATCTCAAGCACTGATCCACATGTGTTCCCCGAGCTAGTGTACAGAGAGTATTGGGTGGAATTATGTTGACCAAAGAAAAAGTGAGTTATTTATCTTGTTTAGAAATAATAAAGTTAACTCTTGTGAGGCTAGAATTAGGAATATGTGTCATATGTCATCCTTCCTAAAGCACTAACACTCATTAAATTCTGAGGCTTATAGAACCTAATTTGTCTTCTTTGAAAGGTCACTATTCTAGTTACTCCAATTTGCTCAGTTTGTATATTACATGTAGCATAACATTATTTTCCTTTTTATGAATTTCTCAATCCTTAGGGGATGGAGTCTGGAGAGCTCTCCACACTCATCTGGAAGATTTGGAACTGTGGTGTGCAAAGTTTATGATTAATTCTATACACAAAACAATGTTTACTTCCCACCATCCACAAACACCCTCAAATCTTCTTAAAATTAGAAATGTGGGTATAATGATTTACCCTTGATATCTCTCCATCTGTGAAGAATTTAAATAATTCCTCTGTAGATGATTACAAATGTCATCACCACTCTCCTTATTCTTTATTTGGAAAACTGAAGGTTACTCAGTGATTAATGTATAGAATCACCAAAAAATGCAAATCAGCCTGTGACATTTCATGGCAATTTATAAAAATCTTTTACTTTTCTTTCCGAAATATATAGTGGATTCTGCTACAGAGACAGATTCATACTCTATCAGGAAATAATTTTGTCACTACACAAGTAACAAGTCAAAAAACTGATAGAAACATATGCATGGTGCTTTACAGTTTGCAAAATATTTTCAAATTCATTTGCCGATTCTTTGAAATAATTCTATGGGATATTTTATATCTTAACACTGTTTTACAGATTTGGAAACAGAGGCTCAATTATCTGACTTAAGTGGTACCATTTTTAAGTGTCCAGCCTGAGTCTTCTACCTCTGAAAGCCTTTTTTCACCACATACCAACGTGATTACACAATAAACTGTATCAATAAACTACACCAATGGGGCAAACAGTTGTCTGTACTTGGTTCTTTTCACATTTTTGGATCAGCCTCAGGCAGAATGAAACCAAAGTCACAGCACCCAAAGGTGGTGCTTCCACAAGCTTGTTTGCCCATCCCACCATACAAGCATTTTACTTGTAGTTTTCATCCACTACCCTGCCAGTAATTCTCAGTGCTCCAATACAGAGAAGAATATTTTAATACATAAATATATAATTTCTTATATGTGGTTAGAAGGTGCCAGTGGCTTTAATCTTTAAATAAACAAAAAGCAGAACTTTACTATGACAATATTTGATATGAAACATTAAAATCTGATTTAAAATTATTTGTATTGCTTTGGTTATTCTTAATTTACAATGTCACTATGTTAGATAATTCTAATTTTATTGGTGAAGAGATCATAAAAGATACAGAGCACCTAGCATATGATTATTTTGCTATGAAGAAAAAAATATGAAAATACCTATTCTTGGTAAAGAATTTGCTGGTAAGAGTGAACAAGACTCTGAATACTCCCATAGTCCAATGCTATGGGGCATTAGAAGAAGTTAATTAATAATTACAAACGTTTACTCTGATATTGCTATTGTTTTTTCTCTTTACATTTCATCCTTTGCCATCTTGCGTGGTTTTTAAAGGTAAATACATACTTTGTGTTAATTTTAATATAAAATGCCTAGAGCCCTACAGGGAACATAGAATTATTTGGCTTTATATTTTCAAATTTAAAAGTTTGTGTTATTTTTAAAGGTGGATTACAAATCAACCTCTTGGGAACATCCTGGGACCTATAAGAACCCCTCTTAATCCATTAAAGATTTTCACTTCTGAGCCATGCAATACCACATTACATGCTTTCTCCCCAAGCCTTATACTTCTGATTGCTGGTTTCTCACCGTGTTCAGTGTGCTGATGCAAGATCATACTACACATAGGCATCTTCAGAATCCTGTAAATTTCATCCTTGTCGGCAAAAACGGATCATTTCAACTGAAGAAAAAATTGCTCTAGTGGCATCTTGGCCATTTCACACTGCAGGATTTGCAAGTTTGCAAGCAGCTGAGGTTGCTTTGCTGAGTTTTAACCAACATGGTATTCCAGGAATGAAATCTCTACACACTCACCACTAACAAAGATTAAGAAAATACACCTCATCTTCAAATAGAAAACAAGGATGACTTTTTTTTTAACTCACACCGTGCAAATAATGGGTGTGACTTATTGTTTTCATAATTGGCTAACTACTTACTATGATGGAGCTGATGGTGATATTCACAGAGTGTTTTGATATGCGTTCTGTGTGCGTGTGGTTGGGATAGTGGTCGAGCAGGAGAACAGGATCAAACAGTCTTCCATGCAATCATGAAGGTGTCCTGAGTGGCAGTTTAATATAGTTACAGAACAAGCTAAATAAGTGGGTGATCTACAGTTTCTTGAAGAGAATGAGGAGTATAATTTTTTCTCATTCACCTATTTCTCCAAAGTTCTTAAATTTTTGGTGCATTTTACTGCTTATTTTATTAGAATATAATTGTTGATGGCAGTTTAATTTTTCTTTATTTAGGATCACTTAGGTAATTATTTTATTGTGCTTGTTGTTTTGACTTAGAAACCCTGGGGCCTTGCCTTTATGGCACTGGTTCTATTTCCAGTCTCATATCCAAACAGCATATTACTTTTCTGAGAGATTATTAACAGAAATAGAATTCTTGTCTTGTTTAAGATGTACTTTAGACATAAAAGTAATATATACCTACATATGTGTATGTGCATATACATAAGCCTATATATATTTACGTGTGTGTTCATGCATGTGTCTGAAACACAAGAAAAGTTTAGGTAAAAAATACAATAGACTAGAATTCATTTATTATTTACTCTCCCAAATAATTACAGGTATAATGGCTTAACAAAAGTACTAAAATAACAATAATACAATATTAGTTCTGTGAGTGTGTGTGTGTATATAATATATACGTGTGTATGTGTGTATATATATGTGTGTGTGTGTGTGTATAAGCAAATCAGCCTTCCCTGAAATAATTCCATTGCTATTAAAATGGAACAAGTTTTGAAAGCATCTCCCAGGGGAAATCTGAGAGATAAATTTAAAGAGACCTGGATAATTTACTTGTGGACAAGTATAACAAGTAGAACAATAAATTAAGTAATAAAATAAGTATAACAGTTATGTGCAAACTATGTGATGGATAAACTAGGATAAGAAATAAGATGTCAGACTCCTACTCTAGTTCTCTTTGATCATTGCCTGAGAACTTAGTATAAAATCTCATAACAGTGAGGTATATGTCTGTCTTCCTTTATCATTTCAGAATTCTTATTCCTGATTTCTTTTTTATTACTCTTTCACAGGCTTACTCACATTTGTGTTCTTTATTATAAACTGGTAAATCCTTTCAGAAAATAAATGGACTATCAATGACATCAAATATATTCTGCCAGTAGATGAAGTTATTGCTATTAAATTAAAACTATCTTTTAAATTCATATCAATTACCATGTAGCTAATAAAACCAAAGGGAAAGACTTGTGGCTTTGAAACTGACAAATATCTCTTCTAGCAAATAGGAGAGACATAAATTTAACTGAAGGATCTCATAATATCTGATAGCCCAAAGAATACATTTTCTCAATTTCTTTTACTTAGTTTATTCCATGGTTTCTCTCTGTGCTTCACCATCCTAGCTGTTTTGGGAGTGAATTATGTTCACTATTTGATAATAGCTGGACCTTATATTTCCATAGAA